ATCCATCCATCCATCCATCCATCCATCCATCCATCCATCCATCCATCTATGCATGCATCCATCCATCCTATTTTCACAGGGGAAGAAAGATGGCCCACTTAGGAGAGGACTAGATAATATGTCAGTCACCTGTCTTGATGGAAAGACATCATAGCAACCTGGAGGAGGAATGGTTTGTGAGACAGTTGATGAGGGTACTGATGATGTTGGAGTTGGACATGGCCCATGAAATCGTTCTATTTCACATTGTTGATTGCAAATGGCAAAAAAACTACACCCAGCTTTGTCTGTCTTGTTGTAAATAACATCACCTGTTAAAAGGAAAAGAAGAGTTATAAAAGATTTCCTTTATGTTTAGGACTATACCTGAGTCCTTGAACCTAAAGAGAGGTTATAATGGGAGAAGGCAAGAAACCAAGGTGGGATAAACAGCATTCTTTGTATGATTAGGTGGAGAAGTTACATTTATTTTGCTCTGAGAACTTCTAGAGAATTTTACAAAAGCTGTTAGAATAATCACACAACCCAATCACAGAGACCCAAAAAACACCTAGACCAGTAGATGGAGAGAACTTGCCTGCATTGAGGAGGATGAGAAGAATTCTACTCACCCGGAGAAAACAGGTCTCCGACCACAAAGCAGAAGCATGGCGTTGTGAAGGTGGAGGGTACTGGCGATGTCTGTGACACAGGAGGGATGGATACAGAAGTGGAGAAGGTAGAGATGGTGGATGTCTGCAAAGTAGGCCTGCTCACATGTGTAGTTCTTGAATGGGAAGGCACAGAGATAGAGACACAGGGGCTGTAGTCATCACAGCAGAGCACCCTGATGTGATAGTTCAAGCAGTATTTTGTGGGGCCAGCCTGGTCCTGGTTCCTGCAGACTAGACCAATGTCCACATTGCATTCAACCACTTGTCCCAGTTGGTCGATGGGCATGCCAAAGTAGTTCTCTGCTCGGCACTGGATTTCCCGAGGCTTCGCACAGATGGTTTCCCCTGCAGCCCGGATGTTGTCATAGGTTTCAAAGTCTCCACCATCTTTTCCAGGAATCGGGTAGCTCTGATCAAACCAGTCTGTCCACACGCACCTAGGCTGGCACTCTGTAGCTAATGTGGCCATGGTTGTGCCTGAAGTAAGGGGGCTGAAAGCTGTTTTTTGGCTAGTGGAGGTGGTTCCAAATGATGGGCTTGTGCTCAGAGATCCGGGAGTTGTCTTTGGCACCTTGGTGACCTTAGTAGCCCCAGAGGTTGGGAGG